CTGTTGTCTGTCCTGTTGTCTGTTCTGAAACCAAAGGCATTGCCTTATCGGGTTTTCATCATCGGAGGATAATGTCGTTCGGCCAGTATCATTGGACGGTGACCTCTCACCTATGATCAGGCCGGTGGTGAACTCAGCGTCGTCACTTCTGTTCAGAGGTCTCCCCCTGTCTCTGTGAAGAGCACAATCACTGAGTCACACCAACACTGACAGACACAGCCGACTGTTTCTGACTGTGTTTTCTGACTGTGTTTTCTGACTGTTACCTGCCGTCAGTCTTCATGAACACTCTCTTCTTCTGTGCGTTGTCACTCCTCTTCATTCTCTCCTCCGTTAGATTCACCATGTCGGAGCATTCATCCTCCTCTGACTGACCCTCCACCTGCCCCCCACCCACTCTGCTGCGATACCTGTGAGCCAGGAGCACCTGTTGTCCTTGTTGACCAGCAGGTGGCAGCAGCTTGTGGCGGCCTGCGCTGATCTGTGAAGAGCCCGGCTGTTCAGGAAGAAAGGGTTTGAAGTTTAGAAACAAACAGTGAAAAAGTCTAAAGCTGTGGTTCTCAAAGTGGGGGGCACAGAAGGAGTAGGAGGGTTACAGGGGGTCAAATCTAATTTATTTTTTTATATATTTTTAAACTGTACCAGAGATCAGATCAAAGAAGGTTCTGTCGTCCTGTGCAAAAGTTTCAGGCGTTAATATTTCATCTTGAACAGCTGGACTGATGTCAAACCTGAGCTGAAGTTTCATGTTCTCTACATACACGTTAATTACACGGATGCGTGCATGTGTGTGTGTGTGTGTGTGTGTGAGAGAGTCACCTGAGCCAAGTACTGCTGGTAATCCATGCGCAGCTCGTGCTGCAGTCTCTGTTTCTTCCTCTCGTACTCCACCCCCAGAGGAAGTCCCAGACTGCAGCTCTCTTCTGACCCAGAACATCCATGAATATTTAACAGAGGAACAGAGTTTCATGTCAGTGACTACTAGTTGACACAGCTGCACCGACTCAGGCGGTTCATTCACACTACAGTCAGACATGTTATGGAGGACAACATGTCCACCAGCTGTACCTTCACCATGTGGAACAGAGTTCGGGGGAATGTTCTCCTTCACAGTGGACTCAAAGCCTCTGTGGAGACTGGCCTGTCAGAAAACACAGAAGAACAAGAACAGACACTGTTAAATAACTGTGTAACAACTGGACTTTATCTTGGAGCTTACGACTGAACTCTTTGGATGACGTGACCTGGATGAACTTCACAGACATCAATTACAAACGTTTTTCATCCTTTGCCAGTAGGGGGCACTTTATTCTTGAGTTTAGGACTAACGTAAGCTCAAAGGGCAGGGGTCGAGGATGTCGTGACCCCAGGAGCCCTGAATAAACAACACTGTGGGAACGTTAATGGAGACACACCTTCATTTCCATGTACGGTGGGTCCTGCTCCAGCCGGGCTCTGTCCTCAGCTACTCTGGCCTTCTGCTCCCTGATCAGGTTCTCGAGCTCATCATCCGTCTCCATCAGAGCTGCTGACACTGGCCAGCTGTGGACAAAACAGACGGAGACGTCTTTCACTGCCTTAGTCAGTGTAGACTACACTTCATGATGAGACGGTCCAGCTGTTGTCAGTGGAACAAACACATGTAGTTCTACCTTCACAGGCTCTTAATCAGGTTCACATTCCAAACAGTGTGTGATCCTTACGGCAGTGTTGTCAGAACGTCTTAGTCCTCATTTCCTAAATCTAAACTCTAAATAAATCCTAAATAATAAAGTTCTATTTATTTATTTATTTATCTTGACAAAGTAAACATTCGTTGGTACCTGGTCAGAAAAGAGCTCTGATAAGAAGAACAGCTTTCTGATCTTCAGGAAGGTTCTGCTGGGAAAAAGACAGATGAATGGCAGTGATAGGTGGAGTGGGGGGGGGGGGGGGGGGGGGGGGGACTGATTAGAAGCTGTGATTTCTTCACTGACTGACTTTTATAATAAATACAAATAAAGATTTTGTTTTTTAAATTACGAAAAAGTAAAAGCATCCGCACGTCCGGTTGATATCACTGCATGTACAGCGGTGGTCACTGGTGGTCACTGGTGGTCACTGGTAGTCACTGGCTGTCACTGGTAGTCACTGGTAGTCACTGGTAGTCACTGGCTGTCACTCGTAGTCACTGGTAGTCACTGGTAGTCACTGCTGTCACTGGTAGACACTGGTAGTCACTGGTAGACACTGGTAGACACTGGTAGACACTGGTAGTCACTGGCTGTCACTGGCAGTCACTGGTAGTCACTGGCAGTCACTGGCAGTCACTGGCAGTCACTGGTAGTCACTGGTAGACACTGGTAGACACTGGCAGACACTGGCTGTCACTGGTAGTCACTGGCTGTCACTGGCAGGCACTGGCAGGCCCCTGGGGGTTCTGGGGGGCACCG